TAAATTAACTGGAAATTGACTTCTTGAAGAATATCAACCAACTTTCAAATTTTCAAATGTGTGGAATATTGAATTTGATAAGAACTTGAGTAAATATAATACTTGTATGGTAGAGTACTATGGCTTCATTTGTTATGTCATTATTACAAAATCTATGAAATGTGTTATTAGTCTAAGAAAACAAAATTGAAACCTGTCAATTACAATAGTCCCGCATACTAACCAGAAAACCTCAAAGAAATTGGTATATAATCTGGAAAAACAAGAGGTACAACTTGGTGAAAAATGGTTTTCTGACTTGTATGCAAGATGAGAATATAGAGTTATACTATTTTGGCCATTTTGGTATTTTGGTTATTTTTTTTGGTCCTAAGGAAGGTCAGAGTGGCATTGCTAAGTGTTTATTCTGTATCCTAAGCCTAATCTAAACTCTCAGAAGATATAGTTGGTCTACTATCTAGTGTCAACTATGTTTGACCAAATACCACTTATTCAGTTATTTCAGAACGTATTGTTTGTATGAATAATGAAAGTGGAGGACTTTTGGAAATCCAGTACCTGACCAATGTGGAGTATAATCATTCCTTCAATTTCCACAAAGTAGCAAATAATATTGTCATTACAGAAATGTAGGTTTTTTTCAATTTAAGACTCCATCGACTGTTTGGCTAAAATTGTTAAGATTGAAAAGTATAATTCCCAGGAACCGTGTAATTTATCGTGGATATGGTATATTTATAAATATCTTTATTGATGAGAATGTGTGGGAATTAAGCATTGAATCTTCCTTAATCCCCTTAGAGACCAAACTATACACTACTTCCTAAACATACCACTTTTCCCTCAGCACGAAAGCATATGGCACAAAAACAAATCATTCAATGATAAAAATCTTTGTTAAATACCCTAGAAATAATCCTATACCTGGCTTAACATCACCCTTTCGAGTTGGGGCTGTGGCTGTAAATAAACGTTCCACTGTATAGAATTGGATTGTCATACTTTCTCTTCATATATATATGGTATAGTACTGTAAGCTGCCATACCCTATTTCATGCTACTCAAAGGATTATACCCCTGTTTGATATTTGCAAGGAGAGACTTCCAGTTGTTGTACTTTTGATAAAGGTTAATCCTTAGAGGCAGTTAAGCCTCAAATGTAACTATATGTCTGATATCCCTAAAACCAACTAAATGGATTGATCTATGTTTAATCCTGTGTCTCATATTGGATTCAAAAGCTCATAGGATGTGTGGTTAAATTGCTAATATGTCATGGTGGACCGTCACAAGCTAAGAAGTTATGGGAAATGCTCAGAAAGGAATTAAAAAGGATGTATGACTTGAACAGCCCTTTCAGCCCAGAATTGTATTGCTCTGTAAATTGCTCATATCATCACAATAATTTTTATAGATCTGTGATCCAAGGCAATCCTTTTGAATATGTCGTCCATGCTTAAACTCCTTTTAATTTTACATAGAATTTTAATGAAAAAGCATAACAGCCAAATTTTAAACACAAAATAATGCAATGCAATCATTTGATTGAACTAAAATCATTTTCAGATATTTCTTACACGAACCAAAAATGATAGAACTCCCAGAAACATAAACTGTTTTGGAGGATTCCAAAAAACGAGCCCAAAGTGACATTGAGTTCATGGGCAGGCTAAAGCCATCACATGACAGACTTGAGGCAAGAGATAAGACAATTGTTCCCCAAGAGAGTCTCAGACCAGACAGAGTAGAAAGAACAGACTGACATTCAAGTCCTTATCAATTCTAGAATTATTATTGATTGTACATGTCAATTATCCGAATCTCTTTTGAAGTTGATTTGTATGTATTCGATTAACAAAATTACTGAATTATTGTAATGGGAAATTGTTTGTTGAAGATTTTTCATACTGTCTCGGACAATCTCATTGATGTACTTCCAAATTGTTGAATTTGATTTTCGTATTGGGTATTTCTATGTGTAAAAGAAATTAATTTCCTAAATTGTCCCAAGAAGGTAGGTATGTCAGGATCACTGTAACCGCTATTATCAGAGGACAGACCCTGGGTACTTAAGATTAACAAGTAAGAAATGTCAAGAATTAAATAACTTATAACAAATACAACGATGTCTTTTAAAGGTTACACTTTGTCTTTGAGAGATTAAGTTAGAAAATGAAATTTTTTGAATGTTTGGGGTGTGTATGTTTTATGTAGCCTAGTAACTTGAAGTATGTATTTTTCAGGGAATAATGTAACTTCATAGCAACTGCCAAAATACTCTTCACCTTGAAAGTGTGTTAATAGTTTGATAGATTAGCCTAAAGAATTGAAGACCTTTGATAGATATGTGTATCTAAGTACAAGCTCCATAATTGTTAAGACCAAGGTGTATGAAAAATCATCCACAGCATAAGGAAAGAAAATCCCCAGCATCCCAAAAATCTAACATTCAAAGAAACACTGTCCAACACCCATAAAGTTCAGCCATCTGAGATCCTTATTAAATTGAGTTTCACTTATTGGATAAGTTTGTTTTTTTGGATAAGTTGATGCAGCATATGTTGGTCGTACCTTCATGGTGGCCCATGCTTGGAGGCAAGTGATATAACTACTATAATACCTGTCACTTTGAAAATGTTACTTCTCCCCGTTATGCAATTGCACCTACCCTCCCCAAAAGCCTGACTCCATTCACCTCTTGAATTAAGAAATGATTCCCTGATCTGTCCAATATCTATACTGTATAGTGTATACTCACTTTCATTCCACATTCATCTCCAATTAAAAGGTGCATCATTTACATTTGAGATTGTTATGATTGTATAATCATCGAAACTGTAAAATCACCTTTATTGAGCAGAGGGTTGCGGAACTAGCTGATGTTGATTTAGGGTGCCCCTCTGGTATACCTGCAGTGTTATATCATGTGAAGTACTTTATTTGAAACACCACAGGAGGAATAATATTAGCTACTTTTTTCATCTATTATTACAGCAAAACACTGTTTCAGATCTGATCCGACATCTCTCAATGATGATTTCAAAGAGAGTGATATCCACTATTTTAGATTTTAAGGATAGAAAAGGCAATATAAGGGTCAAGTTGCTCTCAATGATTGAGCTCTTCAATTGCTGATTGCATCCTTGGCTCTTATATGGCTCAAGGTGAGCTATTTCACACAAAGTGTTTTGTAATAAGGATAGCTTTCATTGGAGTTTATTATTCTTAAGAATGAGTTCTTTGGAGATCTTTCAATTTGTATTTTTAAAGGTTTTTGTTGTCTTTGGATATTGTAAAGTTTGTGAAGGGAAGATGGTTGGAGGCAAATTCACTCTGAAGATTAGTAGGTCAATGGACATTAGTTCTCTTCCTTTGTTCTGTGCTGACCTCACTAACAAAACAGACAAAGATTAATAGAAACCATCATTTTTGTAAAATGGTTATCATCAGCAAAAACCTGGCTTGAAGTTTGATAGATAACTGGTGCATGATGGATTGAATATTTAAAAGGAAGTTCATGTTTTTTCCCAATTAGGGGCATCTTTGAAAGTATTACCACTATAGGGATGGGGCTGACCATTGGCTCTGCTATACACCTCATGTATGTTTACTTCTCCAAGTCATGATCTTTCTGCAAAAATAACCAGATACTTCAAAAAAGTAATTAGTTTATCAGAAGTTTTTTTGTGTGTATGTAGTGTAAGCAAACTTGCAAGTTCATTTGGCCAGTATATACTATGTTAAGTGCTTTGCTACAACTTGTCAAGGTTCAGTTCTTTGTGGATCACTACAAAAATCAGTTTGTAGAATAAATGAGTATTTTATGGGGCTGTTAGTTGGAAGATATCCATTCATAGTTTTTTTCAAGTGCTGGTGTCCCTTCATAGAGTCTTAGTCTAGATTTGACACATTTTCTTTTTTTTTTGAATTTTTGGTGAAAAACACTTGAATTTTATTTCTATTTTGATTCAGCTAAGGACATCATCCCTTATTTTCATGAATTATGTTATTGTAACTAAAATCAGCAAATGTTTTTCGACTCTTCTTTCACTTGTCCCAAACTTGGCCTTGGTGTTCTTTCCTCTATTTTACCACAATCAATTAAACACAATAATATCTGCCAAAAGATCTCGGTTAATTAGGACGTGATTTGTTTCTATGAGTAGAACTGGTTGATAGATTTATTATGAGAGTAAGTGTAAAGGAATAATTCGGCAATTTTTCAGTAGATTACCCAAAATAACTACGAATAGTGTCATCAGGTGCAAATGTTGATTCCAACATAGAAGCCTACACAAAGTGATTTATTTGCAATTCAGGAAGACATTCAAATAAAAGCAATTTATCTCTCTATGTTGCTGCATTTAGATAAAAGTCAGTGGTTTGTATATGGCCTAGTATCCTTTTGTTGGCTTTTTATGTGGAGGAATTTCTGCGTAAACGTTTTAATGATTTCCTCAAAGGTGTCTAGTGACTCATGTGACAGAACCAGCGACAGGGGAACATCTCAGACAAAAGCAGACATGTGCCCAAATGCTTAATACATATCCATGCTTTATCCTATATGACACAATTAAATGCATGGATTTACAAGAGAAATTTCGAGTATGAGAGACTCCAGGCTTGACTATATTTTTAGCAATGATTGGAATCTGATACTTTGTTCCACCTCCAGTTTTTTTAACAAATCATATCTTGATAACATCTTGTAACTGGATGTCAACAATTTTTTTAAAACATTGATTTATGTAAAATGGGTGTATAATATGCCTACGTATATCTACTCTGCTTCTACTGTATGTTTTTATTGCATATGGTACAATTGATATAAAAAAATAACTAAATCAAAAATTGGTAAAAAATATCCTGAAAAATATATGGTTTGGTGGTGTTTTGGTTTGTTTTGCTGTTCTTATGAGTTATTTGTTATTTTGAGATTATCAATTGTAGATTATGAAAATGTTGACCTCTTATGAATTGTTTCATTTGTCTATTTACAGGGGAATGCAGTAACAGTGTATGTTTCAATGGAGGTAAATGTATGGGCGGCTACCCCCAGATCTGCTCCTGTCCCCCAGGCTTCCAGGGCCCCCGCTGTCAGTATGGTGAGTACAGTTATTATGTTCTTTTAGACATAGCCATGCATGTTCTGATGCCATGCATCTGGTGATCCCAAATGAATTGCCTCAAATTCCCCCAGGTATTGCCTCAAATTATTCAGGAGTTGCCCCAGATCTCCCCACAATTGCCTGAAATCACCTAAGAATTGCCTTAAATTATTTTAAGGATTGCGTCAGATTTCCCAAGCCTGAAATCTCTCAAGTATTGTCTCAAATTCCCTGAAGAATTGTCTCAAATTCCCCCAGGAATTGCCCAAGTCTCTCAAATTATCCAAGAATTGACTCAAATCCCCAAGAATTGCATCAAGTTGAGTACATGTATTGTCCCAGTAATCTACATTACATAGGCTAGGCCAATTTTAACATTTCCTTACTCACAGTGCATTTTTGTATTTTCTAAGGTAGACCACACATTGATGAAATGGTGATTTGTATATGTTGTCAATTTAACCCCTGAATATTTTTGTTCAATTTTAATGATATATTTATTTTCTTATGGGTAGGCTGCTATTTATTGTCCAAAACAGTAGTTAGTTATGCAAAGAATAATTTATTTTGACAAAGCCTTGAGGTGATTTAAAAAAAACATTTGCCAGTGGCTGTCATAAATTATTCTTGCTCATGTAAAGCCAACAGAGGATTGTATTTTAATATTTTCATATTGTAATTTGGCACCACAAAGTGATAAATCCCTTTTTTCATGCAGTTTCTCAATAATGTGAGCAGTAAATTTTGGTTTGCCCGTGTCTTTTCATATGTTTGGAGTTATAATATATAAGTAATGGAAATATTAAGTAGACTTTGTGAATAATTCAAGTTGAATCAAACAAAAAAGTTATATGTATGGAAAGTTTATCAAGGAAAAAGTTAGCTCTTTTTGAGCTTTGACAAATATGTACTTTGAATGAAAGTTTTTTTGTTGATTCTATTAATATGTGTTATGATTAGATTTCCGAATATGAAATGAATGACACTATCCAAATGCCTTCATCCTATGATTTAGAGAAGATGGAATACGTAATTTGCCAAATCTTGTAAGGAGCAGGTATTTTTAGGTTTCATACTTTTGCGGTTGTTTCTGAATGAAGATGATGAATGATTAGTCTGAAACTTACATCTCCCTGACATTTACTATAGCAAGAACTAGGCAGGTCTCTGGGTACAAGGTGAGAATACACATCCTGTGGTCTACCAACTTAGCTTCTTTTCCTCAGAAAGGATATCATTTTGAGACAAGTCTTGAAAAGTACATTTTTCCTTGAAATCTTCAAACATTTCTGATATTAATGAAGTATTACCAGTCTTCTCCTCAAGAGGCTCAAGAAAATATGGAATTTTTTTAGGTTTAGATTTGAACGTCATAGTTACCCATTTTCCATTTTCTCCCCATTCCACCTTCTTGATGCAAGTTTTCATTTTCCCACACCATAGGCTTTGTCTTGTTTTGGGGTTATAATGTACATGTACTCAAGGTGTAACATGTGATCATTGTAAGGATCCTACTTATAACCTATATATCATTATAATGTCCTGTTATTGATACTTACATTTATGTTTCGCATGTCAAGATACAGTTTTAAACCATGTGTCTGCAAATTATCATTCTATAAAATCACTCATATGATTTTGATTCATTGATAAAATAGACACACATTTTTCTTCTACTTGTTTTTGAAGTTGAAACTGTCTTACATCATATCTCATCATCCACCACAACCCTCAATGGGATATCATCAAAGGCTACCACCACTCCATTATCCTGACCTGAGGTTGAAGAGAATATTGCTTTGGGAGATAGAGGACGCAAGCTATGCTCATATAAACATGTGGTGACATATTGTTACAGTTTCCAACTTCATTTTGGACATTGTTCGGCAGTTAGTGTTCAGCAACTACTGTTCAGTGGTTGGTGGTCGGTATTTGTAACAAATTGCAGGTGGTGGCATTTTGCATGTTCATGCCTTGTATTATGTTTCTGTTCCTCAAATGTTGCCCATTTTGATATCTGATGGTGATATTTGACCAGGTTTGTACACCCAGTTGTGCACCTAGCATTTCACTGTTATGATCAATGACTATAAGCCACTCAACATTACCTCATAAAGTATAAGTACATAAGTATGGTCCTTATGAGTTAGGTCATAAGTCAAGGGCCATTGGACTTTAAATAACATCTTTGAAGTGACTTTTTATCCAAGATGTTATCCACATGTGGAGCTTTCACTTCCCAGGTGCTGGTATATCATAGGTTAATAAGCAAGTCAACAGTCAATACTGTTTACTGCTATCATAAAGATATCCAAAAATATGTAGAAAAGAGAGACAATTCTAAGGGACATGATCATTGAGATCAGGTACAATCATTTTAGAAGAGAAAGTCATGGTTTTAATGACTTATAGTTATGTATATTCTGATACACATTAGCCTTGGTACCACATTAGCAAGGTACTGTTAGAAGGCTCTCACGATGAGGTATCTAGGTTGTGTTGTGTTTTTAAGTGTTGCCATTTGTGTTTTCTCAATCACAGATGTATTTTGACCAGTTTATCAGTGATCCCTCCCATTAGAGTGTTACCACTTGGGTTATGTTTAGTTGCAATGTTCACATCAGTACCCTTGAGATGATATGTTCCCCAGACCAAGGGGATATCATATCAATACGTGACCACTACACAAAGAGATCAAAAAACCTGTGATAAGCAATGGAGTTGAATACCAGCCCCTGGAGCATATTTGTGGCTATATCTGTCTGCAATATGGACAATCTTAAGACATGTGATATGTTTTACGATAATGACCAGTAACTATTCATTTGAGGGTCTATGAAGGCCTGAAGTGTAATATTAACAGTGTGGATGATTGCTCTTTTATCAAGATACCTGACTTTATTCAGATTTGTGGTATACATTCCTTGCACCTGGAGGCGTGTGTGCTAGACTCAGCACTCTCTCTCAAAGAAAATCCACCCTTAAGACATGCCCCACCACTTGACTTTCACTTTATGTAGCTTTAATATCTCAATATGATACTCATAATCATTTCATTTAACCTGCCTACCAGATTTATGCATTTTCACGTTCTCAAGCTCATTATATTCATTCACTCAGAGAAGTTTACTGGCATTCCCCCTTGCAGAGATCAAGTGGGGCTATCTCTGACTCTTGTAAGAATCTATTTCAATGTACTGGAGAGGACACTGGATACTGGTCCATGGGACATTGTTTCAAATATTGGGCCTTCATCAGGATTCTATTGTCATTCTATATGGCCATCAAAATCAATTATAACACATGCTGACCAGTTAAATGACCATTAATTTAATGAGTTAAATTATCACCCAGAAGTTAGCAACATATTTCATTCAAAGAATGCCACTGATTTCAATGCAGCTGATGCTATGTCTGGAAAAAGACGTGCAAATACTATGAATGAGTCATGAACGTGATTGATTTATCGGACATTAGAATTGATCGTGTCGTCCCCCAGTCCTCCATGTGGGTCCAGGAAGCCTGCTATCTGAACTAAATGACTTTAGAATAATTGAATTATTTAGCCTTTATTCAGTTGTATTGTCTAGCATTGATAAATGTTCATTACAGAAAGTCAGTTTTATAGGCTGTTGTTGATGAAGTTGTCTTTCTTTAGATAGCACAGGGCCACCCAAATATAATCTCAACAGGCTAACATAGCTGGTTGTATACTGTTCAATAGCACCAATATGTATGATAATTCTATGAATACAATTTGCAAAGTGGATTCTCAACCTCCTGAGATCCTAGCAACAGTTTTTGAGATACCAGTTTATGTAGATGAAGCCCATGAGAAAAATAGAGAATGATTTTAAAAAACCAAAATGATTCTTATATGATTACTTCTTTTCTTAATAGAACTCTTAGAGAAAACATTATTCAATTTCATGATTTTATCGATAACTCGAAAAAAACAATGGTAAACGTTTTCAGTATGTTGGTTGATCAATGCAAACTTGCTTTATCAAAATATTTTGAATTTTTAGAGCCTTATAATGGTATTTCAGTCACATGTGTGAATGCCATCTAAGAGTAGAGGTTGATGTGGCTTGTCTAGGGTCAAGAGGTAATAGGCTGTCACTTACCGAACTCTATTGCCCTTTACTCTCATAAACACAATAATCATCCACTCAACAAAAAACATATGTGAGGCTTATGACAACCTCTTGAAATTGTGGCTCTTACATAGAACATATTGACAGCCTGTCAGTCACCAGCCATCAGTCATATAACATTGCACTCAAAATAAGAAGAAATGTTATGCCGCTAATGAATCATATGAAGCACCATCACAAACCAGACGCATATATCAAAATGTTTAAGTCAGTGTAACCAATTGAAAATATACCCGAGAAGCAACCCCTAAAGCCAATTGAAATATAAAAAATGTTGAAACCAATAAGCCCATTGATTTATTGAAATATTGTGCAAAAGATTGAGCAAAAAGAACTTCAAACACCATCATGAGGTTGATGATGTAGATAAACCTACCAGACATTAATAAGGTAGACTGGGTAATAAATTGTATCTTGTATATTGTGTTGTGACTTATGTCTTTTTTTAAAAAATGACTAGCTATACCTGCTCACTGATGAAAATGCAATTGAAAAAACTGATTAATATTCAATTTTGGTGCTAATTATACCATCAATTAGAGCCACGTCAGACATGTCATGCTCGAGCCTAGAGGTAGTTGTTAAAATTGACCATTGTTGACCTCTCCAAAGAAATGAAAAATGGTATATTGACCTTGCCTGGCCTTTTCAATCTTTGGTATTTTGACAAGGAAATCTCAATTAATGCATTTTTAAAGGTCTTTAAAGACTCAAAATAGACAGATTTTCAATAAAGTGGTCTGTGATATACTTCTGGGTGCATATGGACTATGTCAGGCAATATGTAAATGTCAATAGTTAGGCTATTCATTGGGATTTTAATGATCAGAAAATTGAGCT